CAATTCTTACAGGTTAGGGTTCTTTATTTTGATACAAATCATCAACATTTTGATTAAATTTATCAAAATTTGTTAATGTGCCAATTCGTCTAACTAGATGTGTGCATTGTTTTACCTGCCGTTGTCAGGGAAACAAATTTACACTAAACATGCATTTTCATTTTAAAATGTGCACATTAAATTTTACATAGAAAATGCCAAAAAATCTATATCATTTTCCTGATTAAATTCTTATTGTTGGTTTTATCAGTGTGACCCTGCTTCTTTGTGCTGGCGAGTTTAATCCAAGAACTGCTGAGTAATGACGGCCTGAAGAGGAAGGAGGGGACAGACTCTGGATGTCATTTCTCAATAGGCTGACACAAAATGGCTAAATCAGTTTAAAGCTATTGCAGCTAAAACCCCTTGAATGGAGAAGGAAGATTCCCAGCAGGGAGAAAGAAGGAAAGGACTTTGGAAAGGATGACCATAATCCTCATCATTGTAAGATAGGCTGAAAACACACTGATCCTCTCATTCTTTCTGAAACAAAGCTTAAAAAAAAATGTATGCTTACAAACCGACGTTCTTTTGATTCAAATCACACTTCTAAACCCTTGTTATTTTCTCCTACACTGGAGAATTAAATCTGCGTTTGACTCTTTTGTTAAAAATTTTAATGATTATTTAAGAGCGTAATTCTTAAAACAAAACATAGCAAGCTTTATCTTTAATTAAACATAACTATAAATAGTGAAGGTATTTTTTAGAACTAACACCCTTAAGAATTACTATCATTAATTCAATGATTAAAAAAAAAAGGTCAGCTAAGATCATTTTAACCTTATCCACATAACACCAGCACCAGGAAGGCACAGGTCCTTCTGGTTTTTTTAGTAACACACTTTTCTACTCAATCTATGGCTTCTTTCTTCCTTTTTTCTCCTTTGTATGCACAGCATAGATTGATTTGACCGGGTCACATCGAGCAAAGAGTTTCAATTTCCTAATGGAATACTAGAAGTGTTAGAAGAATCTAACCTGCGCAGCAGTGTTTGGTTCCGGTGAGAGTTTAAACAAACAGATAATGAGCATTTTGTTTTTGTAGTTTTGAACTATTTAATTTAACTGTACTTCATAGGTTGGTTCTGATACTTCTACCCACTTTAGTTTTATTTTTTCAGCTTTATGTTTCGGATTCTGGGGCTGTGCAGTAGATTAGTGTGTAGAACACTTGCACTGCAGCAATGAGGTCCTTGATTTTGAACCGTGGGGCTGGGGTCTTTCTCCATGGTGTTTGCTGGTTCTTTTCATGCATGTATGGGTCCTCTCTAGGTATTCCAACTTCCTTCCACAGACCAAAAACATGACTGTTAGTTTAGCTGTTATCTCTAAAGTGTCCTTGGGTGAGGGTCTTTGTGGATAGTTGTGTGTCTCTGCTTCACACTGGTGACCTGATCACAGTGTACCCCACCTTTTGCCCAAAGACTGTTAGAGCTAACCCCCTGTGACCCTGATGCATATAGAAAATCGATTCATATTTGGGTCAAAGCTCAAAACAGTTTGGTGTTGAAGGTCTGTTATTAAAAAGGCTAAGGGTCAACAGTAGCAGCTTCAAAATGACTAACCTTAAGCTTACTATTCCACTTTACAGTGAGGAAAACAAGTATTTGAACACCCTGCTATTTTGCAAGTTCTCCCACTTAAAAATCATGGAGGGATCTGAAATTGTCATAGTAGGTGCATTTCCACTTTGACAGACATAATAATAAAAAAAAAGAAAATCACAAAAATCACAATATATGATTTTTTCACTATCTATTTGTATGATACAGCAAATTTCATGTGACAGAGCAGGTGTTCAAATAAGTATTTGAATCCCTGTCTATCAGCTAGAATTCTGACCTCCAAAGACATGTAAGTCTGCCTTCAAATTGCCTACATTCATTCCATTTATTGTCCTAAATTAGATGCACCAAAGTGAGGTAATTAGCTCCATAAAGACACCTATCTACCACATACATTATGGGGAGTATTGGCCTAGTGGTTAGAGCAGTGCACTTGTGCTCTGAGAAGGTTGCAACTACCCGGTTCGACCCCCACAGCCCCTACTCTGGGTTCCTGAACAAAACCCTTAACCCCACACTGCTCCTTGGGCTCTGCACAATGGCAGCCAACTGCTCCCCAAGGGATTGGGTTAAATGCAGCTAGTTAATTACCCCATTGTGGGACAGTAATTAAACAATCAGTAAGAATCCAAATACTAACATGGCCAAGACCAAAGAGCCATTCAATGACACTAGAGACAAAATTGTACACCTCCACAAGGTGTGAAAGGGCTACTGGGATATTGCCAACAACTCGGTGAAAAAATGTCCACTGTTGGAGCAATCATTAGAAAATAGAAGAAGCTAAACATGACTGTCAATCTCCCTTGGACTAGGGCTCCATGCAAGATCTCATCTCGTGGGGTCTCAGTGATTCTAGATAGGTGAGAAATCAGCCCAGCACTATACAGGAGGAGCTAGTCAATTACCTGAAAAGAGCTGGGACCATTGTTTCCAAGGTTACTGTGGGTTATACACTAAGAGGTAAGGTTTGAAGTCATGGATGGCACAGGTCCCCCTCCTTTAACCGGCACATGTCAAGGCTTGTCTTAAGTTTGCCAATGACCATTTAGATGACCCAGAGGAGTCATGGGAGAAAGTCATGTGGTGAGATGAGACAAAAATAAAACTGGTCATAATTCCACTAACCGTGTTTGGAGGAAGAAGAATACCATCCCTACTGTGAAGCATGGGGGTGGCAGCATTATCCTTTGTAGGTATTTTCTGCACATGGGACAGGCAACTCCAATGTATTAAGGAGAGGATGCCTAGGGCAATGTATTGCAAAATTTTAGAGAACAATCTCCTTCCCTCAGTTAGAGCACTGAAGATGGGATAAGGCTGGGTCTTCCAACACTACAATGACCCAAAACACACAGCCAGGATAAACCATGGAGTGGCTCTGTAAGAAGCATAACAAGGTTCTGGTGTGGCCTAGCCAGTATCCAGACCTAAACCCAATAGATAATCTTTGGGGGGAGCTCAGAAACTTGACTGATCTAGAGGAGATCTGGGAGGAGGAGTGGGCCAAAATCCCTCAAAATCCCGCAGTGTTAAAACCTTTTGAAAAACTACAGGAAAAATTTAACATCTGTAATTGCAAACAAAGGCTTCTCTAAAAAATATTAACATTGATTTTCTTAGGTATTCAAATACTTATTTGCAGCTGTATCATACAAATGAATAGTCAAAATAAGAATGTTTTGTGATTTTCTTTTAGGTTATGTCTCTCACAGTGGACATGCATCTACAATGAAAATTTAAGACCCCTCCATGATTTCTAAGTGGGAGAATTGCAAAATAGGCTATAGCAGGGTGTACAAATACTTATTTTCCTCACTGTACTGTATCTGTGCAGTGATCTTAAAAGTTATGTAAGTGCACAGAAAATACCACTGTTCCAAGGAGTAGTTACACATTTGTCCAAATATAATGGTAGAGACTTGTTGATGGTTAGAAAAAAGCATTTCTTTTTTCTGCAACTTAAGATGTGCTATTAATCAAGTATTAATGTGAATAAACTTCAGAAGTACAGGTTTGACATATTGTGGATTGGAGATGATCTAGCGGTACCTTATATTCAATCTTGTGGACTTGACTCTTCTTTAAAACATACTCAAAGTGTTTGAAGCTTTGTCCAATTAATTAGTAAACAATAGTGTTAAAAAGTCTAAAGTTGATGTATTTTAAATTTATAGGGGTTTAAAATGAAAATGTTTGGTGAACCTGAACCTATCCTGGTATAAAATTAGAACCTGTATCTTTACATTGGAGGGAGAGACTCATTTGTGATTTTGAGACTTTAAGACTGAGGCTTTTGTACATTTGTTTTCTAATGATTACTGCTGATTTTCATGAAAGAATTAGATTACAAGTAATTGCCAAAATCACCCTGCTGTCTAAATGGTCTATTCACAAAGCAACAGAGCAATTCACCCATGATTGATGAAACTAATTTTAGGAAACAATGGTGAGATGGAATAAGGCTGCATCATAAAATCTATCACTGAGAAAATCCATAAATGCATCACAGATGCAAAATGTGTTCCTCCATTTGTCCCTTCTGTCAGAGTGAATCATGGGATCAGTCAATGGAGGTAAAGATTTGCATAATGTGGTTATATGAAAGATATTAAAATCCGGTCGAAGATAGACATCAATTTAGATACATTTCTTTTCCAGAAAGGGAAATAAAAAAAGTTGAATGTTATTAAGAGGATTTGATGGCTGGCATGTGAAGATATAGGTGCATCTCAGTAAGCTAAAATATCATTTTAACTAATTCTATTTCAGTCATTTAATTAAAAGAACCAAAAGTCATTCATTTACAGCAATATACCTTAACTATTTTCCTCCGTAAATGACTTAAGGTAAATAAGGATTTATCATAAGAATATGTTAGTTTATGGGATACTCCATCATCATAAACACTCCTGACTTGACAGCTGTCCTGCAGGAGCAAATGCTACAAAAAGGTCAGTGCTACGGAAACTGGCTTTTCATATTGTAACATTCAATTATGGAGAGATGTATGGAAGGGAAAATAATGCAGATAAGTGTGCAAATTCACCAGGAATAAGTGCAACCTTGAGACCAATCCAAGCATTTTGTGATGTACTACAAAATAAGCCTATTTTTCAGTGAATATGACTGTATTTTCATTTTTAAAAAAACCCCTAAATTAATTCATTTTATTTTAAGAAAAGTTTGATTTTTAGAAAGCCATAATCAATAAAAACTTACTGAAAGAGTTACTTACTACATGCTAGACCTTAATATGTTAAGATTGCACCTATACAATGCACATTTCTATACATTTTAAATGAATGTGTATGAAATGTTTCTGTGGTTATCATTTAAACCATAATCAGCTAAAGATATTGGAAATGGAAATGAAACAACAGAGTATTGGAGTATGATTGGCTTTCTTAAGCTTTTTTTTTCCTGTTTCATTATAAATTCTAAACAGCTGGAAAAGAAATAAAAACAAGATACATTAACACGCCACATTGATCACAACAGTGTACCACAAAATATACAGTATGCAATAAAAAGGGAGAGAATTAAAGCACTGAGAAAATCTCATTCGAAAAACAAAAATGAATACAAAAAGTCCCATAAAGTTCTATCTTTGTTCAGCAAGTGAAAAGTATGGGAAAAAAAACTCAGTAGTTCCAAAATTAAAATACCCTTTCTAAAAAAAAATAAAAATTACAACAATCTTATATAAAACATGGTAAGAAATAAAGAATATAGATAGTGGTCAAAGTCTCAGACAACAGACATTCTGGCCACAGATAGTGGTTTGAACTGACATAGTTTAAAGGATAATATTAAGTTTAGTGGTTCCAGTGTATAGCAAAGTAAAAAAATATGGATTCAACCTGCTATCCAATCTTTTTTGGCCTGCTGACAGTAACAGAAAAATGTCTAAATGACGTACCTAAATGCAGACTGTATAATGATGAGCCTGTCAAAACATTTAAACTAGTAAACAACATCTCACATATCTCAGAAGTTATCACTACATTGTAACGCCTCTTGATAATCCCATTTTGTTATAATAAAAAATGACGTTTTAGAGTTTAAGCCGAAAATACAAACTTCAGGGGGATTGTCCACGTAGGGTGGACATCTTAAACTGAGACACCAATTGTTTCAAATAATAACCAGCAGCATTTCCTACTCTGAAGGTGGAATGTTCAGTTTCACATTAGAAATAAAATAAAATTGAACATTACTTAAATTTGAAACTTTAATCCAGACAGCTGGAAGTCACAAGTCAATCTCTAGTTAAAGCTCAGTATTGCTGCTGCACATGACTAAAACATAGACAAATGTGCAGAAATGTTTGTTTATATTTCTGACAGCTTATTGTTTTTGAACCAGTGGAGGTATTGTAATATTTCTTGTACTATTTCTGAGAATGTTATTTTCTTAAATGCAAAAAATAGAGAAACATAATAAAATGCTCAATGCATTGTATCAATGAGTATCTATCACTAAGTAGGCTAATTACAAAGTTTTTCTGAATTGCAACCAGAATTCGCTTGACGTGGAATTGACGTCACTCCCATATTTCAATATAAATCAAACACAATGTTAGCAACCACTTTCACCATGTTCTCTGATAAGAAAAAGCTGTTTTAACAAAGTATATTAAACAACAAAAAACTAAAGCAAGGAGCACAGGCATAATATACATAGATGTGACTTTAAAAAAAAAGGTAAAAATAAAGCATGACAAAAATGCACATTTGGTGTTTTTATGAATTGGGTTGCAATTCATAAGTGATTCTAAAGAGAATTATTAAATACCTTTCTATAAACTGTGAATGGAAAATGAAGACAAATGCATCCAAAACAAAAGCAGGTGGCAAACAACATTATAGAACATTGGTAAAGCAAAAATACAGAGACTCTCAATCAAATATTTACGGTAACAAATGTATGTGCTCGAAGGATTACATTATGCAAGTTGAGATGGTTTACAGTAAGAGAGTTTTTTCCCCAAATTCCCAGCAGATATGAAGTAATTTAAGAACACACTCCAAAACAGAGAAGCTTTTTGTAATTATTGATTGAAGACACAAAATAGAACATACAACAAGGTTATCAAAATAATGTGATTAAAGAAAAAAAAGAGATAGTATCCAGTGAAGCATTTAGCTGTTGCTTTTTGTTTTTTATCTGTGTGTTGAATGGATTTCTTAAACTATTTTATGTAACAAAAAGAACCCCAAAAAAACTTAATAATCTCCACTCAGGTGTTCTAGTCCAGGTCTGAAAACAAACAAAGCCCAAGCTGATCATGGTGATTCTTCAAGGCCATGAACATGTACCCCTACCCAGCATCACTGATTATTGTTTGTTACAATCATGAATCAGAAACCAAAAAATATCCTGTTGTCCTTTAAGCTGTTATCCACTTTCTTATGTCCCCCAGAATTATTTCCGTCGTCCGGCTTGATTACTGAAAAACAAACCACAAACAAAAAACAAGATCATTAAAGATATGTATGGCCTTTATTGTTTTTATTTGTAGTGCAGACTAACCATCACAATCAGAATATAACTGTGGGAAGAAGCCAGAGTTACATCTGCAGGGAGTTTGCCAGAGAACATGCCAACTCCATGCAGAAAGACCCTGGGCCGGGAATCAAACCCAGAACCTTCTTGCTTTTAGGCAACAGTGCTACTCATGGCTCCAATGTGCACCCTTGAATTTAACATGACGTGCAATAGACATAGTGGCAAACTTGCCGGGCAGCTCAGTGGAAACAGTGGGTAGCACTGCTGCCTTGCAGCAAGAAGGTTCAGGGTTCGATTCCCGGCCATGGGTCTTTCTGCATGGAGTTTGCATGTTCTTCCTGAGCGTAAGTGGGTTCTCTCCAGGTACTCCGACTTCCTCCCACAGTCCAAACACTCACTGTCAGGTTAATTGGCTTCTCTAAATTCTCCTTAGGTGTGAGCATTAATGGTTGTTTGTCCTGTTTGTCTCTGTGTTGCCCTGCGATGGACTGGCAACCTGTCCAGGGTGTACACTGCTTCTCACCTGTAGACAGCTGGAGATAGGCACCAGCAGCCCCTCGTGACCCTGCTTGGGATAAGTGTGACAGAAAATGGATGGATGGATGGCTAAACTTGCCAAAAAGACAAGGCGATGTTATCAGATAGGATCCAGATCAAAATTATTATTTTTTTTTTTTTTACAGTTTTTGGCCCTTTTTGCATATTCTAGACTAGAAACCGTTTTCATTCATGAAATGGGTTTAAATATCTGTAAGCAGTCTGAAACATTCACTTTACTTCCCCACCAAGACAATCAATTTAGTCTGCAAGCTTTTAGAGGACGGCACACCGATTAACTTTACTTTTAATGATAGTTTTTCAATAAAGCATCACTTAGTAGGGTTTGAAGAGCAATGCTTTATATAAAAAGCAAACTTTGTCTTTAATCTCCTTCCATTTACTGAAATGCCATTTTGTTTGATGCCAGCGCTTCAAATGAGACAAGACTCATTAAAGCTGGCTTTAAAATTAACTAAATTTTATGCTGAAAATAAAATGTTTGTGGTGATTATCTGCTCCCAGCAGCTGTAAGACTCAAGCCTTCATTTCAGCCGATAAAATAACTTGCATTGCAATCATATTCTAAACGTACATCGTTTAGCATTTAGATCTACTTGGTAAAAATGTGTAAAAAGTCTTGGCATTTATGTTGCTTTTCTTGTAAAAGTAAAACAGTAAACTGACAAAATAAAAAAAATCCCACTTTTAATCTGAAAACATTTGTTTTCATGGAAACAAAAAAAAACATGATAAGAAATAACTATTTTTAGCAAAATAAGAAATGACACAATTTTTTGGTGTCTAATAATTGTTTTAAAACAAATGTAATTAAAGAGTTTTTTTTTTTTCATTTTTTTTTTTAGAACTATGACTATACTTTTGAGACTTGGCTACTAGAATGGAAGAGATCGGATATTTATCTTATCTCTTTGCATAGCAAGAAGGATGGTAAAGCAGGTAAATAATTCAATGAGAATAGAGACGAATAACCCATACAAAAGCTATAGTGGACCAAAGATGTTGGTTTAAAACCCATTATAAACTAAACAGCGTCTGAAACACAGCAGCACCACTGAAGGTCACCATTATTGTTGGCACATGCTTTTTCAGGGGAAAGTAAGGCCTATATTAACACAGACGTTCAAATATGGCGGTTTTTAGATGTTAAGCAATGAGTCTTGTCCACAGAGAGCTCCAACAGGTGGTGACTTCAATATTTTCCCCCTCTAGAGCTGCTTTCCCAGTGTAAACCCAGGTTTTTCAAAACCAGGTTGTCCCGTTAACAATCGGCTTTTAGTTCTTTTCCCATCTGACCGAAAAGCTGAGTCTGATCCCCTGTGTGTCCACTGTCCCCCACCACTAAGTGTCTGATGACGGCATCAGGCTGAGTGAGCGTTCATGATCTCGACATTGCAATGGAAATCAGGGAAGTAAATAATGGAGAGCAACATGGATGGCAGTCAGAGTGTAGTCAGTATTGTTTATTATTTCGCTCTTTCATCTGACTGAATCCCTCTCACCGATGCTGCGCCATGTTTATTAAATGTAAACAGAGTTGTTTTAGCTTGTTAGATCAGAAGCGACTGGAGAGGGGTGCTGATATCCGTATTTTGCGTTCAGTGTCATGTAATTTAGCGGGTCAACCCAGGTCTGGTGTTCTCACAGCATGCCAATCAGAGCCAAGGTGAGTTTAACAGGGGTCAGTTGCAGAGTCATTGGACCCAAGTAGACAAGCATCAATTAGCTGTTCCCACTGCCACTAAAAGCTGATTGTTCCCGGGTTTAAACTGTTTTTTTGGCCAGTCTGTATTGCAACAGCTTTAACTGGATGAGAACCGTTAACAGACCGTGAAGTCTGGAATAATCTCCCTTGCCTGGCTTTGTGTTTGGTCGGTACCTGTTCCTTCTCTTTCACTCATGAGATTTGTATACACATGACACTGATAACAATTCAAACAATTTGTGTAAAGAAGAATGCTTAAAAATCTCTTGCTTACGACCTTCTGCAAAGTTATGCTGAAAGGAACAGTGATAATGCAGTGATATTTCCAGGTCTAACCTGTTCTGTGTTGGGTTTTTTGTTGAGCAGACCAGCTTCTTCATTGGCCTTTTCCGTCTTCATCTCCACCACAATGTTGTTTACCTGTCCAGTGGCCCTGAACAAATAAACATGAATAAATGGCAATGGAAAAAAGACAATTATTGCAAAAATGACATTGATTGTTAATCGTGTTTCGCTCCTTAAAATTCTAACCAAACTGAAAGAACAAACCTAGGTTTATCTGGTTCACAACGGAGAGAAAACATTATATAATTATTGTCAATATTTCTACCATCTGTTATACTCACGCTTCCTTTTTGTTCTTCTTGTTGCAAAATGTGCTCTTCTTGCTCAGGAAGTAGATGAGTGCAACCATCAGCAGAAGAAGCAGAACGCAGACCACCACAGCCACCACAACAACGCTGGAGCCTCCCTGATGCTTGTCTGCTACAGCGCCACAATAGAGAGAACGATGGAGGGGGAGGATGTTGGGGTAGAGGGTAGGTGGGACAGTGGGGAGCAGATTTAAAGGTAGGAGTGGGGAGAATGGAGGGATGATCAAAGAGAAGATGGGGGAGCGGGGAAAGGGGATGTTTTGATTTGCAGGGGGGGAGAATCAGCATGAGGGGTGTTTGATTTGTGAGGTGATGTCAGGAAAAGGGTAGGAGCATGGGGGGTGAGGGGGGTGATTTGATTTGGGATGGATTGAAAGGGAAAGGATGGGGGTTGTTGGGTTTTAGGTGAAAAGAGTTAATGGGTTGACGGGTGGGGGGGTGGAGATAATAAGGGGGTGGGGATTGGGATGTGGAGTTAGACTAACTTCTGAATGCAATGACTGAAATGTGATGGGACCCAAACACAGGGCCTTGTTCCTCAAAGGGAAAAACACAGAGCTGACCAGAGCCAGAAAAACAACACTGAACATACTCACCCACCGGTTTACACTTGTATTACTATAATTTTGAGGACAAGTCAGGACATAATGGACATGTGCTTCTGAGCAAACTTTACAATATATATCAAGTCCTAAAAGCTAAAATGAATTTCACCTTTTTTTTAGTACTTGTGGAGTTTTTTCTAAATAAATTAAAAACGTACCCTTTCTTTTAAGGAGTAGTTTTATAGGGAGTTTAATGATGGACTGTTCCCTGGCCTGCAGTGCTGAGGTTTTGGCATCTCATTTGTTTGCCTGGCAACCACACACTAAAGACGAAACTCCAGCAACTTTTCTGCTTCTGGTTGAGATACTTTATGAGATTCTTTAAAAGCTTCTGTGGGCTTTTCTTGGGTAAGTAATCGGTTAGGAATGCTTTCTATATCGTTGTGTTATCAACAAACAAAGTGAGTTACATTACAATCTATTATTTTGAAGCATGGCTTTGTGAGATGATTGAAATCTATCTTCAGTTTTTAACCAATTCAATAATTAACATATGAAAGGAAGAATTAAATACAACTACAGGAAATCAGCCAGTCAGTCAGTTTGGGAGAAAATTTCTAAATAAATGTCTTTTAAAACGAATAGTCAAAAGAAGGAAATGGGGATGGGGGGAGCTGCTTTGGCCAAGCAACCTAGAAGATTCCTTTTTGACATGATTTCTCGTAACCTTTAGTGATTAACTGGGATTTTCTAATGTGGAATCCAAAACCAGGCTGTTTATATAAATTTAATCCACCTAACGCAAAACTAGAGATCACAAAAACAATATCAGACCAATTCAGACATAGTTGTTTGACAATTACATTTTAAAAGCTAAATTAAATAAATAAACACAATGTTCTTATTTCTAATTACAACTTTTTTTAAATCAATTGTCCCAGGTCGCAGCTATGTGAGGGAGGGCAGAGGATTTATGCAAAATGAAAGCTGTGATTTTTAGTAACAGATTATCCTGCCACAGGGATTATACTTCTTGCATTCAATGAGCACCAATCTTTGGAAAAGGTGCACATTTCTTAACTGTTATAAAGAATACAGTCTTGTGTTAAACAGATAAAACTTTAAATAATTTTACACTAGTTACTCTCAAAAACTACATTTCAATAACTTTAAAGCAAAAAAAATTTTGTAAAGTTTACTGACGCTTATTATTTAAGGCAGGAACGACATGTCAACAGGGAGCGTTAAAGCCACATAGTTGCAGGAGATGGATGTTAGGGTTGACACGCAGACGCACCTTTCAAACCTAAACCCAGCTATTGATACACAATCCTGGATGTTATTATGTTTGGAAATATGTATCTCTAAAAAAAGCAGTAAAACTGCATAAATACAAGTGGCTAGATTTAAACAGTTTGTTAAGAAGTATATAAATGTATTACTTTTTGTGATTTAAAATAGATTTTAACAGACAAAATAAACTTTATAAGAATCTAAATAGGAAATGGCTTAGGTATAATACTTTGAATAATTAACTAATGAGAGGAAAGGATAAGCAACCCCTTACCTTAAAACATAACCTACACAAAAAGTCAAATCTCTCTTTCAGGGAATTTTAAAGTAAGTTTATACTTCTGAAATTTTTCCAGGTTTCCATGAAAAGGTTCCTGCAGTGAAAATGCACCTTAAGATAAATTCTTCATGTTATTGATTTTCTGGGGTAAGTTCAACTCTATCAATGATCATTTATCTAGAAAATGAACAACGATTTGAGGATATCTTGAGTTGATTTGGTGAATTAACTTTTTAAGATATCACCAAAAGGAGGATTTTTTCCTTTTTTTTACAAATTAGGCCAAAGTTTCGATTTTTACGCTAATCATACATTAGACTTCAAATGTTATTTAAGATTTAAAGATTAGATTTAAGCCTTCACACAAACAAAATCGGCCACGTCTATCAGTACAAATTTTTATTTCCTTTGGATAAAATCTTTCAAAGGTCTGACAGTGACTCCGTGCTCTTATTGTCATAAATATAAACTAGAAACATTTATTGAAATGCTCTGACCATGCTCTTTGTAAACTACGTTCACTTTCTTCCCCATCAACTCCTCAGCTAGCCTTATTTCTCCTTGTTGCAGATGTTTTAAATTGCAGAAACAGACAATTGAAAGCAAGTTTATTGCAGCCATTTTCTGACTTGAAAAGAAAAAAATATAAATATGGTTGATTAAAATGGATAATTTGGGTAATTGTCTTTCCTATTTAAAAAAACTGAATATGAGGAATGGGCTTCTGTGTGACATTGTATTTGTAGTAGGGCTGCAACTAATGATTATTTTGTAAATTGATTAATCTGTTGATTATTATTATTTTCTTTTTGATCAGAAATCGGATAGCCAAAGGTTCCTTAAAGAAGAATTTACATGAAAATGAACCAGGTGAAACTAAAAGTTTTCCATTTGAGGAGTTCAGGATAGAGCATAAAGAAATATTTTTTTTATTTTATTTATTTATTTATTTATTTATTTTTTTAATGCAAAATGTTTATAAATCTTGTTTCACAATTTTGGTAAAATTAAATTACTTCTCTAAGTAGGTTGCTCTATAGAAGCTGAAAGGGAAAAAATAACTTACTGTTTACTAATTACAAGCTCCCAGACACTATAATATGCTAATATTTTAGGAACTGTAAGAAGTGCCAATCATAATTTCATTTAGAAAAGGAACTTATTTATCAACCACATACAATATTTTCTAATAAGGCCTGCTTTGTGAGATTATGCACATTTTGTGTGGTATGGCAAGCCACTATATATTCTAATTCTGAATATAGAAAAATTCTTATTACATTGAATTTTGGAACTTTGTATCATGACACCAAGATGATTTGTTGATTTTTTTTAAAAAGAAAATATGCTCATGAATTTTAAAATTATTCATTGAGGTGAAACAAAGAAAAATATAAAAAATGCAATACAGGCTTTCAAGAAACAGCTTGGAAAATTTTTTGAAGCTAATCTTAAACATTAGGCCAATTCATGGTTAAACTTAAAAAAAATAATAATAATAATAAGAATAATAATAATAAAAAAAATCTATTTACCAGATTATAGTAATGTAATATAATAATACAATGTAATGTATTAAAATAATGTCCAATGCCCAAATTCCATTGTCCTCGCAACTACAGTAAGACAAATAGGCTATAGATACAGAAAAAACATCAACTGCTCTAAACAAAAATGCATTACCCTGTGTGTGTAAACAGACAATAATACACACAACTTGCAGCTCTAGACAAACACCATAAACACGACATGTCAGTAGGGTTAGCCATACAGACCTGACGTAAGCACAGGGTTTCCAGAGAGCAGCACTTTGAAAGAAAGACAGTTTTCAGTCCCATTGCATAGCAGAGCAACAACCAAAACACACACGTCACTGAGAGCATTTGCACAGTAAAGGCGACGTTACTACATCTACATACAGCACCAGGAGAAGGAGAAGAGCAGAAAATAGGAGTGCAGTCAGAAAAAAGGGTGACAAAAAAGGCACAGTCAGGAAAAAAGAGAGAAATGGAAGGAATAGAATAGAATAAAATTCTTTATTGTCCCCAAGGGGCCACAAAAACTTAGTAGCATCCAGAAAATATAGGACAGACATCATACAAAGGTGAGAACAGAAGAAAAATAACAATATACAATATCCACAGTGTTCGGTAGCAAGAGGGCAAATATACAAGATTACAGTACGGCAGAGGAAGATGTGTATTCTGACTGTGTATGTGTGTGTTTGTGATGGAAAGATGGAGGGGGGGGCAAGAGTAGATGGATGGATGGGAGGTTTCTAGATTACAGGGTCTGTACAACAAAGAGTCCTGAGAGAAGAAGTGAGGAGAGGAGGAGAAGGAGGGAGAAGGCTCTACCTTCAGCTGTGTTTGCTGCAAAAGAGAAACAAGAAACAGAAGAAAGGATTTGAAGTTATGGCGATGCCTTGCCGGGTAGACATTTTTTTAAGCGATATTGAGAAAGAAAGAAGCTGTGCTGAAAAGCAACTCTGACATAGGAGCAGGGTTAATATAGATTCTGTTAACATTTGGAACGTTACAGACATCCAAACTGCAAAAGTAGCAATAAAAACACTCAGACAATCTAGTAGAGGTAAATAGTCAGTTTAAAGTAGATTAAAGTAGTATTGAACATCTTGCATACAGGTTTCAATTAGTTTGTATCAGTTTATTTTTGTCTAGAGTTGAGATATTTCCAATATTATAAAGAGTATATAAACAAGAGCTTTTATATAACTAGACTGTATGTTATAAAAAAAAAAAAAAAAAAGATTTACATCCTGTTTCCATTTATGATAGTCCTTATTCCTGTTTGGAGCAAAAATTTATGAAATGTGACAAATTATGACCCTATCAAGCCAAAATAAACGTCATGCAGGAGGATTTATCTGAGTCACATGATTTTTTTTAGTAGACTATAATGATAATACTAAAAGCTGGATATTAAATGTGTCAAAGTGTGCAAGAAGGGCCAGTATGATGGGTATGATTAAATGCATAGCTGTTATGAAACGGTCCAATTGAAGCTGGGTGAGAAATAACTGAAACTTACAGGTATAAAATAAAGAAAAGGGACAAACTAAAGAGGAATCACTAAACTGTTCATGCTTTTTAGTTATATCATTTATGAATAATAAAAACTATTGTTTGGCATTAGATATTTAAGAGGTTACCACAGATGAATATCTTTCACCAAATCAAAGTTACAGTTATGTACAGATGTAGTCCATTGCTGTGTAAAACGGTTTAGAGAAATAAGGCTTTGTATGCAATTTGGCTTTTTGGGGCAAAAAAGCCTCAAAAGCAGCTTCATCTTTTATGTGCTGTAATGCTTTTGTCTAATTCTAAAAAACCTGTGTTGAAGGACAAGGGAAACAATCTTCACACTGACCTCGTTTAATAGCTACTTGGAGGGTCTTGCTATCTGTTCCGTGCTCGTTGGAGACTTCACAGGTCACCCCCTTCAGCATGACATCAGGCGTGGCTTGTAGAGTCACAGTGCTTTCAGCTTTGTTATCTTTAATTAAGACAGACTAGTAGGAAAAAAAAAAGAAGGGAAAGTGAGAGGAAATCTATTGTCAACATTAAAATGACTTGTTTTATCAACACAGTGGATGCATTTTCATTTGATCAACTAATCGATTTGTTATGAGGTTTTCAGGTATGAATGATCCGTTTAAGGTCAGGGTGTCTAACTCCAATCTTCAAATACACATGCCCTTCTTCTTTATCAAGTTTCCCAGCTGAATTTCCTGCTCAGCATAGCTTGAAGTTTTGCAGGGGCCTTTCTGAGCCACAGAAAATTCTAAACCATGCAGGGCACTGTTCCTGTGGGACTTAGTGTTGTTATTAGTAAATTATGACTATGCAGTACTTATTATAATAAGTTTGGGAACATCTGACTAAGCCTCGATTATAAACTAAACTCAACTTAACTAAGTCCTGCTAATTGCATTTAGGAAAAGTGCAATTCTTCATTTCTCTTCTTTTCACCAATACATTTGTTCTTACAAACGATCACTTATGCAAATTAAAGCTCCTTCCAACTTTGTTTTAACGTGAATTATAATATTTATATGAAATGATATAGTTTTCAAAAGGATCATTAAAATGTGATATTATCACTTCATATAGTAATCTAATCTGAACACTGTGCTATTTTGTTATTTAGCTGCTTCATGATATTGTTTAAGTTATTTATTTGCATTTCATTTTTTAGAGCAGACAGGAATAAAAAAATGTGACTTTATTAAACACCAAAGAAACTTTTTTAATTTCCACACTGAAACGTAACACAAAAAATTTTATTTCTTCCATGAAAAAAGCTCTGCTTTCAGATTTCTGAGTCATCAATCAGCAGGTAAAGACATAAAGGACAACAATCTGATTAGGTTCCTTTCTGCCTTTTCAAGCCAGCTCACCTCTTTTCCAGAGGGCTTCCAGGTAAACTGAGGGGTGGGGAAACCATAAGCTGAACACTTTAGCGTCACTTCATCCCCTTCCTTTGTCACCTCTGCCACTGCAGGAGTCTCAATCTGGGGTTTTCCTGAGCAAGGTGAGAGAGATTTTCATTAATTTAAGCACAGAATATTTAAACACACCATTTAAAAACAGACCGGAAGTCTGCAATGCTCTACACCAGGGTTCTTCAACGTTTTCCAGGCCAAGGACCCCCAAACTCATGGCAAGATGGAGCGGGGACCCCCGAATATTGTATCAAACTGGTCCTATAGTCATTCAACTACAGACGGAGTAATGTAATTGAAGTAATTTCTCCCTGGGATTATTAAAATATTTCTGATTCCTGTTTGATGGGACAGGTGTTGTGAATGAAACGGTGTCCAGCTTGAAAGAGCTCCTGTGTGTTGCTGAATGTGTGCATTGATGACTGAAAGACATCTTCTGCCTCCATTTATCTGTTTACTACAGTGAGTTGAATTCATGTTAATGTATTTTTAAAGGCATTTCAATTAGTGAAAAAATTACAGGGGAGAATATAAACAAAAACCCAAAAACAAAACCCAAAACTTTCACGACCCCCATGCAGTACCTCCAGGGCCCCCCTAGGGGTCACGGACCTCCTGTTGAAGACCTCTGCTCTACACTGCTTCCACCAAACCTACCACAACATCTTCAATTAAAGCATTACCCAAAAAAATCTAAGGATGACCATTGCTGTATGATAAGTGTAGTGGTGGGGCAGGTTAACAAATCTAAAAAATGCAGAAGAAATTTCAGAATTTATATGAGAGATGATGTGATAAATTCAGTGAAAAGTTTCAAACAAATGCTATTTCTGTTGTTAGGAAACACTTAGAGTTTCTAAACTAATTCAATCAACATAATCTCGATGACATGACAGTGAAAAGTTAGAGAAAGCATTGCATTACAAGACAGCACATAATCCTATATTATCTCTGACATATTTGGCAAAAATATTTTGGACTTTTATTCACAAGAAAAACTCAAACTCACTACATAAATGTGTAGCTCAACAAAAATTTACATTAAATTCAATGTATTTATATAGCACCAATTTACAACACATTTTATCTAAAGCCACTACA